TCTTTCTTGTGGTCAGTCTGCATGGAATGACTTCGTGGAATGAACATACGAATAAAACGTAAATAATAACGGAATTATTCGTTTTGTTACAATTAATTTGCACAAGGGTGTAGGTGATCAAGTCTCTCCACATCTTCCTGTATAATTAATTTGCACAACGGTGGAATATCAAGATATATATTGCATGTACTATTAAAATTTTATCTATTATACGATTTTTTCACACTGTTTTTTTTTTACATTTCGGGTCAGTGTCTTACATCGGATAAAACGCAGATCAACGCTGGTTGGGAGGTTATCCCTCCGATCAAACCATCACCTGGTTACTCTGAAGGGCACTGAATACAGACATTACCCTGACACCATATGAATAGACTCGCAATCTACTCAGTGAAGGGGTGGCAATCGTTGATAAGGTGTTTTTTCTTTCATGAATAAAAACGCTTTAAAATAGAATTAGGCTAGCTATTATAATTTCAATTATGAGAGAAAATGATATATAAATTTTATACATCTGAACGATGTTAGGAAAATTAATGGCATTCGGCGCGTTTCGTCCTTTTGTACATCAAAGTAATAAAGAGATTTTAATGTTTAATTTTTTTTAAATCTATGTTTGGGTATATAGTCTATCCACCTTCATATAGTGTCTTTTTGGTTATGTTTTTTTTTTTGTTATCACTTTTGGCATTAAGCATCCCATAATAGGATAATGGATCGACTAATGAAGGTGAAATTTTTTACGATTAAAATACATATAAACAAATAGAAAAATAAACTACCGTATTTCCCCATGTATAATACGCCTTCATCCATAATACGTACCCCCCAAAATTGTGCTGAAAGTGTGGGAAAATGCTTCTCCTCACGCATAACACGCACCCCTTGTTTGGTAATTATTGTGAGACCGGAAACTACCTACACAATAGACTCTTCCAGGCCTATATTAAGTAGGCGACATAGCACTCTAGAGAGTGACAAAGAGTGACATAGAGAGACAGTGAGAGTCTAGTACGACTACCAGTATTGGACACTAACATATAGTAAGCTCCGCTCACACTATCTCTGTAACCTGTTATTAATATATCTTTCTTACATCTAATCCGTGTTCCGTGTTTTACTTCTGTGGTCCCAACTTTGGCCCCCACATCAGTAATCAAACCCTATAAATTGTACCTCTCCAATTTTATTACGGCCAGCGTTTCCTCCTCTTATGGTTTGAAACTAATATTATTTTAATTTAGTTTTATGATAATTCTTATTTTATTTTACGGCAATTTTTAGAGATTTTTTGTAGCAGTTCATAATACGCACCCCTGGTTTTGTTGATTAGTTTTTAGAAAACATGCGTATTATACATGTGGAATTACGGTAAAGGAAATTGGCTAAACAATATATCAAAACAAAAAAATAAAAATTCTGGCTTCCTCCTCTTCTCCATGTGCATGTATAGAAACAGAAACAGAAACGTCCTATGAATTCCTAATGTATTGAGTATCTTGTTTTGTAAAAAAAAAATCCACTTTGTCGTTGATTTTCCTAATATTGCCCAAGTATATAAAAATTTGGATGCATTTCTTTTATACACACACACACATACAGTGGTTGCCAACTCGTGTCCGAGTACGGCCATTACTATATATATTTTTGGACAAAACAGACTACGGCCAGCCATAATTCTACATGAAGATTTAGTTTAGTTATATGCCATGTATGTTAGACGCTTAGGCGATCTGACGAGGCAGATTTTTTTTCTCCGGTCTAGGGTGCCATTTCTTTCTGCGGTAGACCAGTTTCCATCCAAGGCTATAGAACCCGATTTGTCCTGCTATTTACCCATAGCTGGGGGGAGGGGAGAAAAAGATGATTCATGTCTTTCCCAATGTTATTAGCACGACTGAAATTCGAACTCGGCTCTCCGATTCCTCAGTCCGAGCCGCTATCCATTACTCTACCGCCCCTCCTCGTTAAGATTACAAGGGCAGAAAAAGCCCGTTCACCTCACCTTCGGAAAGAGGTCAAGCTGAGGTAGGGTCAGGGGATCTATTTCAAAGAAACCTAACCCTTTCCGAAGGTGACTGATATGCGGATAAAAATTAACTGTGAGACCTCTTATCAAAGTGATCGCCCCAGCCGTTTTCATAGTAATTAATTTTGCCAATGAACATGCTTATAAAGATGCGTAAATTTCAAGATTGGTTATTCCTAAATTTTCGCTTGACGATGAAACAGGGCTTAATATTTTAACTCAATTTATTTTTAATAATTATATTGAGGGTTTCGACTCTCGTTTTTGAAACATGAGAACTCTTATGTAGCGAAGGAATCCTATTTTTTTTTAAATAATCATAATTTTAGCTCTACTTCTGTATGGAGCACTTTTTTTTTGTTTTTTTTTAATAAAAACAAAAATAATAAAAACACCGATTATTTATCTAACGTGTTCTTTCCTATTTTCTACATACCTGCACACACACACACACACACACACACACACACACACACACACACACACATATATATATATATATATATATATATATATATATATATATGTAGAAATTTTGAAAAACAAACAAAAATCCATAAATGTAGTTAAAATGAAAGAATTGTCGACGTCATTTATGGATTTTTGTTTGTTTTTCAAAATTTCTACATTCTGTCGGATTTTATCCATTTACACTTGCTTATATATATATATATATAGATATATCCGTCAACTCAATATCACTCACAAGCTTTGGGACAACCGGTGGTATGGTTTTCAGACACTTTCCAAGTTTGCCGCACGGTGTAGTCGACGTCCACCCAGTCCGAAAACATCAGGAAGTCACATTCCTGACAGATCGACCAACATACATTACATACATATATTACATACATATATTACATACATACATACATACATACATTACATACATACATACATTACATACATACATTACATACATACATACATACATTAACTACATACATACATACATACATACATACATTACATACATACATATATTACATACATACATACATACATTACATACATACATACATACCTACAAACATACATATGATGGTTGTGACTCGATTTCAATTTATTCTCAGATATGGGAAGTGTGGATGTGTCTTTTTGTTTCGTACTGCTAGGGTCTTACATTGTTTCGTGCAGATATTGGTCACCTATTGCAGTAGCTGTTACGTTTATATTTTAGGGAACTATTTAGTGTATATCATCATTGATAATTTTTGAAGCCTTCATTACTACGACAGACACAACCATATTTATTAGATGTTAAATCAAATGATGTGACAGTTTCTTAGGTAAATTAACATCACAAGAATTATGAATATCTATGTCAAGGTTTTCATGATGCAATATGATTCTGTTCACATACATACATATATATACACACACACACACACACACACACACACACATATATATATATATATACACACATATATACACACACACACACATATATATATATATATATGAATATATAAAGAAATATAGTTTGATGGTGTTCTTTATTTATGGAATAAAGTGCTCAATATCAAGGATAGGGCGTATGTAAATATAAAAGTGAACATTGAAGTCAACACTCAGAGGCGACTGTTTCATGTCAGACGCAATCATCAAGCCTGAAGATTGTGTCTAGTATAAACAATCTGTCGCTTCCGAGTGTTGATTTCAGTGTTCAGTGTATATATTTATATATATATATATATATATATATATATATATATATATATATATATATATTCTCCTGATGATGTCCATGCTGGCCGAAACTAATCGAGGAATCTAATTGAAATAATATAAACAAAAAATATGAATACAAAACCCAGCGTGTCTGAAAATTTTAATTTTTTTATTTCTCAATATTTTTTATTGTTCAGTGTATATATATATATATATATATGTGTGTGTGTGTGTGTATATATATATATATATATATATATATGTGTATGTGTGTGTGTATGTGTGTCTGTATGTGTGTGTGTGTGTATATGTGTGTCTGTGTGTGTGTGTATACATATATATATATATATATATATATATATATGTATATATATTAGTAGAAAAAGATTGTTCACGTATGATTCAAATATATTGATATATTAGGCTAATTAATGTAATTCAAGAGATCATTTTTCATGTTTTATATGATTTTTTTTATATTTTTATATTTTATATTTTTCGTATATTTCTTATGTATTTGTATATTTTTATGTTTCACATGTTTCACATGTTTTATTGCAGATTTATGTTTTATATATTTTTATCACTTTTTTTTATTAAGTATACCACATTGTGAAACCAGAAAGATGGAATGTTATAAGAACGTGTAGGCAAATTTACTGTGGATGATTTAACAATTAAAAACTTTCTATATATTTATATATATATATATATATATATATATATATATATATATATATATATATATATATATATATATATATATGTCTGTGTATGAGTGCATGTGTGTGCAAGAGTGACTATGTCTCCATGTGAGAATGTTTGCATGCATATGTGCATGTTTCTTACGTCTTAAATAAAAATGAACAGGTTTTTAACTAATTTTTTTAGAAAACAAACATATTAAATTTAATATTTACCCAAAAAAGACATATTCTGCTTAGATAAATTGGTCTGTTTGTAAACAAACTTATCATTTTCTCTATCAATGTCGGAGTGTCTTTTTTTATTCTTAATGTAACTTCTCAAATATTTATTTTTTTTACATGGCTCTATTCCTTTCTCGATTTTTGGTTAATTTATATTTTGTTTAGTTGTTTTTATTTTTTAATTTTTTTTTATATTTATCTTTAGTTTTCTTTTTTCCTGGATATATTTAAAAAAAACAAAAAACAAAAAAACAAACTTTTATGCGTTTCTTTGTATGTCGAGTTATTTTTCTCTCACCCTTTGACATACACACGCGCACGCGCATGCGCACGGTCTTACACACGCTCATACAGTCACACACACACGCATGTAAACAGATACAATCTATATTTTTGTCATGAAAAAATTAGATCGTTCTATTGACATTCAGGTAGGAACTCTTTCCTCTTTTTCTATTTTCTTTCTCTCCTTTTTTTCTTTCTTTTTTGCTTTCTTTCTTTCTTTAATGTCTCCCCATTCATTTCTTCTTCACCCATTCTATTTTGTCATGCATTTTTTCTTTCTTTCTTTCTTTCTTTCTTTCTTTCTTTTCTTTCTTACGCTCTGTTCATATCTATCTATCTATCTATCTATCTATCTATCTATCTATCTATCTATCTATCCTTTTTTCTTGCTATCCTTTTTTCTCTCCTTCGTTCTATCTTTCTGTAACGACCCCCTATTCAATTCTTCTTTCCCCTTTCTATTTTGCCATACATTCGTTGTTTATTTTTTCTTTCTTTCTTTAACGTCTTCTCATTCGTTCCGTCATCTCTCTCTTTCTATTTTAGAACCCTTTCTTTCGTTCTTTCTTTCTTTCTTTCTTTCTTTCTTTCTTTCTTGCCCCCTCATTTCTTTCTTTCTTTCTTTCTTTCTTTCTTTCTTTCTTTCTTTTTCTTTTTCTTTCTTTCCCTTTTTCTTTCCTGTCCCTCTTTTTTTTCTTTCTTTCTTTCTTTCTTTCTTTCTTTCTTTCTTTCTTTCTTTCTTTCTTTCTTTGCATCACCTCATTCATTTCTCCATGTCTTTCTTTCGCGTCTACCATTTCTTTCTTTTTCTTTCTCACTTTTTCTTTCTTTCTTTCTTTCTTTCTTTCTTTCTTTCTTTCTTTCTTTCTTTCTTTCTTTCCTGTCCCCTCATTTCTTTCTTTCTTTCTTTCTTTCTTTCTTTCTTTCTTTGCATCACCTCATTCATTTCTCCATGTCTTTCTTTCGCGTCTACCATTTCTTTCTTTTTCTTTCTCAATTTTTTTTTCTTTCTTTCTTTCTTTCTTTCTTTCTTTCTTTCTTTCTTTCTTTTTCTTTCTTTGCATCACCTCATTCATTTCTCCATGTCTTTTTCTTTTCGCGTCTACCATTTCTTTCTTTTTTCTTTCACTTTTTTTTTCTTTTTTCTTTCTTTTTTCTTTCTTTCTTTCTTTCTTTCTTTCTTTCTTTCTTTCTTTCCTGTCCCTCATTTCTTTCTTTCTTTCTTTTCTTTCTTTTCTTTCTTTCTTTGCATCACCTCATTCATTTCTCCATGTCTTTCTTTCGCGTCTACCATTTCTTTCTTTTTTTTCTCACTTTTTTTTCTTTTCTTTCTTTCTTTTTTTCTTTCTTTCTTTCTTTCTTTCTTTCCTGTCCCCTCATTTCTTTTTTCTTTCTTTTCTTTCTTTCTTTCTTTCTTTCTTTTCTTTCTTTGCATCACCTCATTCATTTCTCCATGTCTTTCTTTCGCGTCTACCATTTCATTCTTTTTCTTTCTCACTTTTTCTCTTTTTCTTTCTTTCTTTCTTTCTTTCTTTCTTTCTTTCTTTTTCACGACCGCTTTTCCTCTTTCTATGTCTGCATTTTCTGTTACCTTCTTTCTCTTTCATTCTCTTCTTTCCTTTTCGATCTCCCTTTTCACTTTTTTCATAGTTCTTCTCTCTCTTCGTTCTTTGACAAAATTACAATTTTACTCATCCTACTGATGAATATTTCTCTCTCCATCATTCTACCTATCTTTTCTTTTATACCAATATTCGTACAATACAAGGCCAAAGAGCCACTCAAGGTAGAGCTTTACTGAAGTAGATTGTTGTATAAGTGGTAAGAGTAAGAGGCAAGAAGCGTAGTTTATGAGGATATGTCGGAAAGATAACCGTTAATCCTAGACTAGAAAAGGCTGATTGTAGTGGCCAGGAAAACATACTCAAGGGAGTCGATTCACAAAAAACCAGCCCTTTCGAAAGAATGGAGGTTCTTTCTTACTAATGCAATACGGAGTCAATGCAGATATTTAGACCCTAAGTACGTGATATGGCTGACATTAGAGGTGATGATTAGAACTGGTGGAATGTAGCTCGTCAGGTCATTCAGAGAAAAAGCGATAGAGTAGCGAAAGGCTCGCGACATTTCGTCTGTGGGAAAGTGGTTGTAGGGTGGAAGATAAATCATCGCCCACAATGATGTGAAGACGTTTTTGCTCTCTAGAAAAACTCGAAAGCAAAGACTAGACAGTTCGAGTCAAAATATGGATACAACGCTTCATTTTCTGTTTGATTTGACCCTTATGAAATTAGTGAAAAGTAGGAGTCCAATATTTACGGGATCTGTACAGGGAACTGACCCTTTTTCCAGCATCTTTAGTGATGGATCATATATTTGAGTTCTACTTGAGGTCTTTCATTTCTGAGAGATATTTTTCTTCGTAATTTCTTTTTGTAATCATTTCACCCCAATTAAGAAAATGAAGTCACCAAGATGCAAGCGGTGACCGTGTGTGAAAAAAAAACATGAGAAAAAGAAAACTAGAGACAACAATAAAAGAACAGGGAATAAAACAGAAGGTCACGGTTGATAGTGAATTTCAATTTTTTAAGATCAAAGTTGACAGGAAAGCAAGATGCCAGAGGAGAATTCCACAAGCGGAAGTGCAAGAGAAGGAACTGTTAGCATAGAACTTACGGTTGCATCTAGCCATTTCAACTGTAAAATGATGAGACCTAAGCGCCAATCTAGTACTGAGCTTAAATTCATAAAGTCTAGGTACAATAGAAAGAATGTTCACCAGAAAAATTACCATGAAAATATTTATAGAAAAGACAGAGGAAAGCTACGCTATGGCGATGGGAAAATGACTGAAGCCGATATGCCAGATCAGGACCAATAAATTTGATGATTCTTCCTCTGGATTTTATGAAGAATTTCTCAATACATAGCAGAAGCACCAGACCCTATTTGGCGGTAGTACTCAAAGAAAGGTCGAATGGTAGACTTATAAATATGCAAGATAGATTCAGGCGATAAAAATAACTTGCATGACACAAGGAATCAGTTTTCTTAGCATATCGCTGAATTTCTTCGCCTGATTGATTTTTTGTGTTACGGATGGGTAAGTGACAACTTTGATGTCAGTATGGCGTAGTGTCACAATTATAGGTCAACCTTGAATCGAACTCAAGCTAGTTGACTTAATCTATGTGCGAACCAATGCTCCCTGGCAAGAATTAATGATTGGGTGGTCAGGAAGTCATTTCGATTTTTAGAAAATAAAGAGACTCAAATGTTAGCCTTTATTAAACCTGATTCGAATTGTTATGTGCAGCTCGTTGAGAATGCATCATTCCAAGGTTGCAGCGAACGAAACCGTTTATACGAAGCAATCATAGAATTTTAGAATTGTAAAAATAATGAGATTTTGCCGCCAATTTCATAAAAGACTTGGCACCAAAGAGAAATACCTATCAAAATGAACACAGCGATAAGAAACTGGCTGAAGTCAAAGTGCCAGATCAGAGCCAATAACATTGCAGATTTTGCTTTGCATTTTAGCAATAATCTCTAAATACATAACAAAAGCAACAATATTCAGTAATGGATAGCAGATCGGATTGAGGAATCGGAGAGCCGAGTTCGAATTCCAGTCGAATCCATTACATTCACTTATTTCTTGGGAAAGGTATGAATCCTCCTCTTCTCTCCCAAGTTATTGATCAATAGCAGGACACACTAGGTTCTATAACCGTGAGGAAAATTTAGAGAAGGTTGGGCATCGTCAGGTTATCTTGCCCAAGAAACACCATTTCTACCGGGGTTGCAGTACACATGGTGCCCCCACGTCCCTACGGGTCATGGGATAAAAAATGTGTAAAACAGAAATTAAAAGAGAGGAAATTTAATTTTTGCAATTCCTTGCCCCAATTAAAAACAGAAAGTAGATATATGTAGATCCGCTTATGTCCTATCTATCTATCTATCTATTTATCTGTCTGTCTATCTATCTATCTATCTATCTTTCAGTCTATCTATCTATCTATCTATCTATCTATCTATCTATCTATCTATCTCAGTCTGTTCATATCTTTCTATTTCAGTCTGTAAAAATTCTGTTCATATCTATCTAGCTAGCTAGCTAGCTATTTCAGTCAGTTCATATCTATCTATCTATCTATCTATCTATCTATCTATCAACGCCTCGCTTTCCACCGCGATCGACGAACGAACGCGAAGACGGTTCATATCTATCTATCTATCTATCTATCTATCTATCTATCTATCTATCTATCTATGCATTTAAATGATTGTGTTTTAGAATGGTTGCAAGAGCGCCTCTTCTCACAATCAACCACGACTACTTATAAAAACTGTCATATCAGCTCCAGGTTTGACCGATAAAAAAAAATACTCTAGAATAACGAGAAAAAAAACAACAAGAAAAAAAAATAAATAAAAAAAAATACGGTTGTGTGGGTGTGTATTTTGGGAGGGGGATAAGACCGTATATATTCTGAAGACAAAGAGTAGATTTATTAATGAATTTTGTTCTAGTGGAGATGGTTAGCTTTGCAGTTTGGCGAATATTCCACTTGTAACTTCGGCCTCGTTCCATCAGTGCTCTCCCTTTTATACCACGCACCATTGCTCTCCATTCCTCCTCCTCCTCCTCCTCCTCCTCTTCCTCTCAGAGCTCGCGGGTCTGCTCGGAAGCTAATCAAAATAATGGCAAGGCTTGTAAACATGGAGAATAACAGCGAATGAAAGTCTGAGTTAATGGAAGATCAAAAGCAGAGGGTAGTTTTACTGATGGACTGTTGATAGGTAAAGAAGAGAAAACGAAGAGAGAGAGAAGGAAAGAGAAGAAAGGAGAGGGAGGGAGGAGGGAGGTAGTGAAAGAATGAGAAAATGTATTAAGGCGTAGAAGAGGAAAGAAGGAAGGGGAGAATGAGGAAACAGTAAGGGAGAAAATAAAAAGCAGAAAAAAGAGATTAAGAGTCTCTAAACAAAGAAAATGAGTTGTGACGACACAAAGAGAGAAAGAATGGAGAAATAAGAGGAGAGGAAAAACAAAGGGGAATAGAAAGGAAGTAAAATAAGAGAGGGATCTAGCTAGCTAGCTAGCTAGCTAGATAGATAGATAGATATGAACAGACTCAAATCGATATGAACAAACTGGGATAGATAGATAGATAGATAGATAGATAGATATGAACAGACTCAAATCGATATGAACAAACTGGGATAGATAGATAGATAGATAGATAGATATGAACAGACTCAAATCGATATGAACAAACTGGGATAGATAGATAGATATGAACAGACTCAAATCGATTTGAACAAACTGGGATAGATAGATAGATAGATAGATAGATATGAACAGACTCAAATCGATATGAACAAACTGGGATAGATAGATAGATAGATAGATAGATAGATAGATAGATAGAAGATATTAACAAGCAGAGAGATAGACTAAGATAGATAAATAGATATGAGTAGACTGATATATATATATATATATATATATATATATATATATATATATATTGAACAATAAAAAAATTAAAATCTTCAGACACACCGGGTTGTAGATTAATATTCTTTCGTTTTTTTTTATTATTATTTCATTTAGATTTCTCGACTAGTTTCGGCCAAAATGGCCATCATCAGGAGAAGAAATATTTCTGCTTGCTGGTAGCAGTAAACTACAGAAATGAATATCTTGATGGAGAAAATGAACTTTTGTCTGTAGTTTTCATTTGTTTTTTTTTTAATCTTTTTATCTTTTTAACATTAATCTTTTAACATTCCTTGTGTTGGTCAAACACTCTCTTTTAAGTTGTTATTTGAGATAAGAGCTGGATGGATCCGTGCTGCTCTGAATTCCCCTGGTCAGTTTGACAGTTTTATTGGACCTGGTATATATATATATATATATATATATATAGAGAGAGAGAGAGAGAGAGAGAGAAATAGATAGATATTAACAGACGGGCGGATAGACTAAGATCGATAGATAAATAGATATGAGTAGACTGAGATAGATAGATAGATAGATAGATAATTAACAGACTGCGATAGATAGATAGATAGATAGATAGAAAAAGACTGAAATATATAGATAGATATTATCAGACGGGCGGATAGATAAATCTATAGATAGATAAATAGAGAGAGAGATAGACAGACAGATATTAACAGACAGGCAGATAAAAAGATAGACAAACAGACAGACAAACAGACAGATAGATAGATATGAGATAGATAGATAGATAGAGAGTGAGAAAGAGAGATAGACAGATAGTAACAGACAGGCAGACAGAAAGATAGACAGGAAGACATAAAAACAGATAGATATGATGAGAATGAGATAGATAGATAGATAGATAGATAAGAACAGACTGAGATAGACAGACAGATATGAAAAGACTGATATAGATAGATAGATAGATAGATAGATAGATATGATGAGAATGAGATAGATTTGATTGATGGATAGATATTAACAGATGGGTAGATAGGTATATATATATATATATATATATATATATATATATATATATATATATAGTAAGAGAAAGAGAGAGATAGACAAATAGTTATTAACAGACAGGCAGGAAGACAGATAGAGAGATAGAGAGAGGGAGATTGGGAGAGTGGAAGAGAGAGATTGATATATAGAGAAAGGATAATAGCTGTATCACTGTCTCTCTCTCTGTGTCTCTCTCTCTCTCTCTCTCTCTATATATATATATATATATATATATATATATATATCGAAAAACCAAAGAGAGATGGTGTGCTTGAAAATCCAATATGATAACTATGTGAAAAAACAGGGCATAAGAAAGAAAGAAGGAATGAAAAAAAGAAAGAAATGGGAAGACAGGAGAGAGAGACAGACAAACAAAGAGATGAGATGCAAACGCAGATAAGAGCGTGACGACATGAGAGAGACGAAGAGGGAGAATATCAGAAAAAGAATGAGAAAGAGAGAGAGGCTGTGTGTGTAAGACATATTGAAGGGAGAAATAAGATAGAAAGAAAAGTAAAAAAAGAAAGAAAGAAAGAAAATAGAAAAGAATTTTAAAGAATAAGAAAAGGGAAGAAACAATCAAAAAAAGGCACACATTGCAGAAAGAAAGAACACTGAAGAAAAAGAAAGAAAGAAAGAAAGAAAGAAAGAAAAGGGAAGTCAAAGAATAGGAAAGAAGAAAAAGATAAGAAAAATGTGCCTCAAGTAAGAAAAGTGAACGGAGAAAGAAAAGAAAAAGAAAGAAAGAGAGGAAGAAAGAAGGAAAGAAAGAAAGAAAGAAGGAAAGAAAGAAAGGAAGAAAGAAGGAAAGAAAAAAGAAAAAAAGAGAAAGAAAGGAAGGAAGAAAGAAGGAAAGAAAGAAAGAAAGAAATAAAGAAAGAGAAAGAAAGAATGAAAGAAAGAAAAGAAAAAAGAAGGAAAGAAAGAATTAAAGAAAGAGAAAGAAAGAAAGAAAGATAGAAAGAAGGAAAGAAAAAAAGAAATAAAGAAAGAGAAAGAAAGAAAGAACTGAGAAAGTGAAAAAAGAAAAAAGAAAACAAAGAATAAGTAAAGAAGAAAAGCGAAAGAAAATTATAGGAAAATATTTTGAAATGTTACAGAAATCGAAGACATTCCGACGAGGCAGTTGATTGCTATTCCTCAAAAGGAGTTCCAGGCATGCTTCCATCAATGGAAGCGCCGTTGGTTAAAATCAGAAGAGGACTACTTCGAAGGACGTTAAATACCGAATTGATATATGTCGTAGTATTCTTTTTATAGCAACAGACACGATACTTTTTTTTTATCAGAATCTATCTATCTATCTATCTATCGTATGCATTTAGGCAGCAATCCATCTTTTATACATGTTTCGTTAAAGACGACTTAAAATGTATTGTGATGAATTTTTATTTGAAACTGAATGTGTGTGATTTTTTTTATGTATGACCATAGCTCAATCCGGACTCATTTAAATAATCGAAAACCTACCAAACTCCATCTTAAACATACTAGTGGCGAATACAATATAATAGCCTCATCCACATGTAAAAGAGATTAAAAATAATGGAAACACTAATGATAAAAAGGAACATGCAACACCCAGTAACATTAACTATGAACATGGCCACAATGTGCTGACCGTGTTTGGAAAATAAAACATTTCTATAACATCGAATACATACTTAAAAACACACATTCCGTTGAAATTTAAAAAAAGAAAAAAAGAAAATCGTCCTTGATAATGGCTAAAAGAATAGTCGAAAGCACTCGGATATGCAGAACTTTTGGAGAGTTTTTAGGCACTTGGTGTCCAGAAAAGAAAACATTTACACGAACACAAGAAAAATTAAATAAAAAGCTTAATCAGTTTACCTTGTCAATTTTCTTTAACGAAACTTAATTTTTGTGTCCATCTGAAAATTAAATTACTAACAGTGATGCGAAAAAAACGCCAAGGTTATGCAATGTACGGTTTAACAGTTCACGATGTAAACGTCAGGGGAGGTAACTAGGTTTTATTTAAATTTCGGGATGAACGCAGTTTTGTCTGATGATGTCGCTGTACTAATGTCGAAAGTACTCGAAATAAATTAATATGTATCAACACGGTAATTTTGTCCCTTTCTTTAATAACGATGCTTGTCCGTGAACAGGAGAGGATCCCGTTGAAAATAAGTAGACATAGCTTGTTTCAATTATTTTGTGAGACATGTCTTAATGAAAACATGCTGCAAAAATATATATATATATATATATATATATATATATATATATATATATATATATATATATGTGTGTGTGTGTGTGTGTGTATATATATATGTATATATATATATATATATGTGTGTGTGTGTGTGTGTGTGTGTGTTGAAAATTCAGACAATGTGTTTTTGACTTAACGCGTTTCAGCCTCGATTTACTTCCTTAAATCAAAACAACTCACAAGCACACACAGAAAACGATTTTCACTTCCACACACATACACACACACGCTTCCACACACACACATGCACACACACACACACACATTATATATATATATATATATATATATATATATATATATATGGACAGACGTAGATAGATGGATAGATAGGTACATGGGAAGAGACTGAGATAGAATAGATGTATAGGTAGATATGTCATATACGTACACACACACACACACACACACACACACACACACACACACACACACATATATATATATATATATATATATATATATATATATATAAGCAGCAGAGAAATCACTATCAGCTAGCAAAGTTCAAATTTTCTGGCCGGTTTGCGTTCCAATTCTCACGAATAACCTCGGTAGAGGCATGGATCTTTACCGCCACCTGCTATGACTTTAATAGTTGGGTAGACTGAACTATCTATCATTTGCTTGCTAGCCAGTCAAGCAGAAGAAAAACTCTGGATTCAAACCTGTGGAGGTCTCTTTGGAGACGTCTTGGTACACTGTGTACCATTTTTTTCTTATCAGTTAATCCAAAATCGGAACTACTCCAATACACACCATCGCCAATCCACTAAGAAATGTAGGTAGTCTACTTGTTCTGAACTTAGGTACACATACATTACGAAATCGATGGGAGAGTCTGATATATATATATATATATATATATATATATATATATATATATATATATATATATATATATATATATATAATTTTATTTTAGGATATTACATTGAAAACATAAAATCGTTACTCAATTGCAGTTGTGTTTCGATGCGTACCAAATGTATTTCTTCAGGCGATTGTAAATTACTGGCGAGTGAACGATTTATTTAGATTTAAAAGCAATATACAACCTCATTTTACGAAAAAAGAAAACCTATATATATGTATATATATATATACATATATATATGAAGAAATATAGTTTTAAGGTGTGCTATATTTATGGGATAAAGTGCTCAATATCAGAGATAGAGCGTATGTAAATATAAATATAAAAGTGAACATTGAAGTTAACACTCAGGGCGACAGGCTGTTTCATGCTAGATGCAATTGTCAGGCGGCCTGACGATTGCGTCCAGGATGAAACAGCCTGTCGCCCTAAGTATTGACTTCAATGTTCCTTTATATATATATATATATATATATATATATATATATATATATATATATATAATTTATTCATTTAAAAATGATAACATAACTATGGTATAAAAGTCACTATAAGTCAAAAAACAGCCATTTTGTTTCAACACCTCCGGTGTCTTATCAAGGATGATGTTGAATGTAAAATAAATCTCAGTATATATATATATATATATATATATATATATATATATATATTATTTCGGAGTTAATAGGTTTGCATATATTATATAAAATTAACAAGATTGTTCATATAAACAACGGCGGTTTGTATAGGGATGTCGGTCTGATGATAGCGCCAAACAACTGACGAACAATTGACACTATTAGAAAAGCGCTTTTCAAGCTGTTCAAAAACCTCGACTTTGAAATAGAATTCGAAATGAATTAAAAAGTTGTCAACTATCCGGACGTAGAATTAAATTTTAAAGCTGGCAATGTCTCCTCATACATGGAAACCCAACGCAAAATTAAAATACGTGAATATTAGATCTACCCCCCCGCCCCCACTGCGAACATAATAAAGCACATCCCTAAAGGAATAGAGTCTTGGATATTCAGAAACTCTTCTAGCAGAATATTTTTGAGGATAAAAGGAACGAATATGAGAAGAACGTACAGGTAGGGGGTCACAAAACCAAAGTAGAATTTATACCGGAAATTAAACGACATACGAAGAAGAATTTGAGGATAAGAAAAAAAATATCATTTGGTTTAACCTCCTTTTAACTTAGCGGTAAAATGGGGAAATTATTTTTCAAGTTACTTACGACACACTTCTCAAAAGTTTCAGAATTACATAAGATATTCAATAAAAACACAGTAAAATTAAGCTACAGTTGCACAAGTAATTTAGAAACAATAATAGACAAACTTCAGAAATATCAAAACTAACGCACAACAAAATATAGTTAACACTAGTCATTTATGCAACTGTAGAAATAAGAATAGATGTCCATTAAATGAGCCTTGTGAAAGAGAAACTATAATTTATAAAGTAGTAGTAACAGATATTAATGGACAAAATAAAACATACATAAGGTGTAGAGAAGGTACTTTTAATCGTAGATGGTACAATCAAAGGTTGTTATTTAAGCCAGTAAATCTTATGTACTCTGCTAACCTACCTAATCATGAGTGGTTTTTAAAAAAAAATAAAATAAAATAAAAACAACAGGGATCCGATTGTAAAGTGGAAAATTAAAACAAAAAAAGGCAAAGCCTTGCAACAATCACAACAATATTTGCGAGCTCTTCCAACAGGAAAAGTTAGCAATTATATTTTCGGATCCAAAGAACCTTTTATACCAGAAATCCAAAGTCTTAAGTCATTCCTTACATATTAAAATTTCCTCTTAAGCACTTATCAGGCTAAATAAAAAGTGTAAAAAAAGAAATTTTAACGTGCATTTAAATTACCACCCTCTGCCTGATACATTTACAATAGCCTTGCTTTTCTTCTCTCCCTCTTCTTCTTCTTCTTCTTCTTCTTCTTCTTCTTCTTCTTCACATCTTCCTCCTCCCTTTCTATTACACCCAACATTGTGCGTTTGTTTATTTATTTTTTAAAAATAATAAGCTAGCGTTCATTTGTCGTTTTTTTTTTTTTTTTATAAAACATTAAGAGGTCATTTGATAAAAATTACCTGAGAATACTGTAAGGTTGAAACCAAGGTAGCAGATTCAACTCACCCCCCTGAGTTTGAAATTAGTCTTAGTAGAATTATCGCCTTGTTTGGGGTGAAATGATAAACAATGAGCTGATTCAACTGACCTCCTGATTTTTTAAAGTTAAAAGCTCTACATATCATTTTTAAATTTATATTGAACACTTTTTAATTTCCTGATCTGATCCAACCTTTATGCATTATTATATATATATATATATATTGAAATATATATATATATATATATATATATATATATATATATTAATATATATATATATATATATATATATATATATATATATATATATGTATATATATATATAAATATATATATATATATATATATATATATATATATATATATATATATATATATATGCATACATGTTTCATTAAATTGTATATAGACAAGTGTTGTCAATTTATTTTATGTAAATTCTTTTCGTAACTTCTGATAAGTTTAATAAATTATCATTAAACGAAGAAAGAAACGTTGGAAGAAGGATATATATATATATATATATATATATATATATATATATATATATATATAGAGAAATTATCCCCATCGCATCCCAAAAACTCTCCACGCGTCAAACCCTGTAAACCGCTTCAGCAGGAGGGGGATAAATCCCGTGAAATTACTCTTCTGCGCACTGGTGGTACCGGAGGGGTATAACTCTCCATGATAATAAAACTTGAGGGGTGTTGTTCATTGTGTCCGTGGCAAATAATTGCACCAACTCCTTGTTATCAGAATTTCCAATAAATGTGGCTGGTTCTCCACAAGCCTTCACCACTCTAAACAAATCTTTTGTATGGATAGTTTGCAGTTCAGTTCTGTGTTTCTTCTTTGCTATTCCACCTGAGCAACAAGTCCACTGGCGAGAGAGTTAAGGCGACGCGAACAGGTACAGGATTAAAAACTGAATTTAAATACATTCATAGGTCGAAAACGAAGGGAGATTCCATCATATATATTGATTTTTTTTATATAATTTCAGATATATATATACTTTGCCAGGTGTAGTAAGAATGTTTGAGTTGGGGGAATCGCAAAGTAGCTGAAATAGAACTCCTGTCATAATAAGCCCCCCACCCCCGCCAAATAAAAACATGACCAAGATAAGTATAAAAAAAAAACAAAAAAAAACTGGCATTATAAATATCCCTAAAAATGTCGCGTTGCCAGCGGCGGTCCACCAGGGGACCACTAGCAGCTTTCATGTTGCGTATCTGTCTTTGGCAGAGCGTGACTCGGTTGTGGCTCCGTCGGGGGACAGAGGAAAATCACACTGTAAACTGCCCTGCCATCAGGAACAGAAGTCCGAGACTGCACCCTCTGATTGCACTAGAGAGAGGGATTGGTGCTTGCGCCGAGGCCAGCACAATCGACGTTTGCGGGGGGCTCGGGGAATTTTTGTCCTTGGCCCGGGTGTACGCGCTCGGACACCCCACATTAAAACCGACCTTGTATCACATCCCGTCTCGGTGGGGAAGCCAAGGTAAATATTCATACACGGAAAAACAACAAAATTTATACAAGCTGAGGCAGAAATACCCTCGCACATTCTAAACTGTCACCCATGTGGCGCTAGGTAACTTAGGACTGTGACAATGTTGTATTCATCTAGCTAATGTCTTACCCTTTATTCTCAGGTACCATCAGTTACCATCATGGCTTAAACCGGTGATCACCGTGTGTTTTCTTTTGAAAGGTTTTTTTTTAGTTTAGTGAATCTGTAATTGCATCATAGAGAACTTTTCTTGCTCATGTCATGTTACGTCGGAATTATGTCGTTCCGAATAGAAAATCGATACTGCTACAGGTTGAACCTTTCAAGGCCACGGGTTTGGCGCTTAAAAGAAAGGTACACCTAAAAGCGCTCAAACTACCTTGTGATGGAAATATTTAAAATCGTCTACAAAAGTTTATGGCGAATAGATACCAACATTTGGCGGATGTCTTTTTTGAAATGAAACGAATAAAAACTATAGCCCTTTGTGTAAATAACAGTGAAATAAATGTCATAATAGCAGTTATCTTGTTCTTTTTATCAATCTCTAATACGTAGGAGGTATTTCTGCCATCCTCAGTACTAATATATTTTACTGAATAAATAGTTTTCCTAACAGTTCAAATAGCTCTATGGGTCATTTTTTATCAAATATTTTTACGTCGTCTATGAAAGCTAGGTTTTATTCACTACTCATTGTCTTCTCTCCCAATAAGAGCATATACGTTCACTTATCGCCCGGTTCACAATCCTCCAAGATCTTTTGAAAATAATTAGATATTTATCCCGTTTTTCGGATGTAGTTAATCGTCTTACCCAGGACTCGTTTGCTGTTGAAACGTTCTTTTTTTAAGACTAGTCTTATCTATAATTGTAACGCAGAGAGTTTTTCATGCTCATGTAATGTTACGTCGGAATGATACACTTCCGGATAGAAAATCGATATTGCTACAGGTTGGATATTTCAGGAACACAGGTTTAGCGCTTAAAAGAAAGCCTCCTGGAAGACCTCAAAGCGCTCGAAGTTCGGGGTGATGGAAAACTTTAGAAATCGTCTACAAAAGTTTATGGCGAATAGATACCAACATTTAGAGGATATCATTTTAAAAATGGAATGAATAAAAACTGTAGGCCATTGTTTAAACAATAGTGAAATAAATTTATTTTGTAGCCATTACCTTGTCTTTTTTGTCAACCTGTAAAATGTGGGAGGTATTTCTGTAGCACCATATAATTTTCATTAATAGCCAATATTTCCATTGCAAACAAAAACAGATTTTAGGCTTCACACACAAACACACACATGGATACATACATCCACCCATCTATACACACGCAGATAAACACAAACGCAGACGCGCGTGCACGCACACATATGTAGACCGGGAGAAAGGCGTATATGATGTTATACAAAATTACCAATAAACAATGCTGTGACTAAAAACTCTCTAGAGACGCGCTAAGTAATCGAAGGTGAAAGTGTAATCGTAAAGCCGCCTGTCTGCGAAAAGTGTAATTATGCAGTGGGGTGGGTTGGAGTAAGGGGTAGGACTGCCAAGTGGAGAAGCCGAGGTTGGAGAGGAGTTCCTTTGCTGCACGTAGAACTGAGTTGGTGGAAGCGGCGTCAAGTAGAAGTCGCGAAAGTTGAGCTTTTAAAAACGTTTTATTTTTGGCCTGATTTAAAAAAAAAAAACCCAAAAAAACAAAACAAAAAACAAAACTGACACCAAGCCCTACCCCGCTCGCTACGACCTATCCACCCCCTATAACTGCCCCCTTTTCTTTACTCCCACTCATTTCACCACCACCCCTTGCCCGCTAATAATTCTACATTCTCGTTTTATTCCCGCCATCATCCTTGCCCCATCAAGATCTGAGTAATGGAAGAAATTGTAAATTTGACACTGAAATTAAAGCCGGAATGAAGTTGGTTGGTGGTTGGGACGGGGAGAGGGTAAGAGGATAGAGGGTTGCGGAAATTTGTGGTGTGTAATTGAGAAGGAATGTCTGTGGAAAGCTATGAAATAGAGAAGAGAGAGAGAGAGAGAGAGAGAGAGAGGGTATTAAATGCGCTAATGTCTGAGAATGAGTGAGAGAAAGACAGAAGGAGAAGAAGATAGCAAGGAGAGAAACAGAGAGGGGTGATAGGGAAAGAGAGATAAAATGAGATTGAGAAAGTCACTGTGAAGGTGAGAGAGAAAGAAATTGATTGACAGCAGAGAGAAAGAGAGGGAGAGAGAGAGAGAGAGGAGAGACAGGCATAGATAGAGAGGGAGAGCAAATGAACTAGTGTGTGAGAATGAGAGAGACGAACAAGATAATGAGAAGAAGAACAGAAATGAGGGGTAGAGAAAGAGAGATAAAGCGAGATCGAGAAATTCATTCCGAAGGTGAGAGAGACAGAAATTGATTGACAACAGAGAGAGAGAGAGAGAGAGAGAGAGAGAGAGAGAGAGAGAGAGAGGAGACAGATAGAGAAAATAAGCCAGTGTCTGAGAATGGGTTAGACAAAGGCAGGGGGAGAATAAGATAGCAAGAAGAGGAACAGAGACAAGGCGAGATTGAGAAAGTCATTCCGAATGTGAGAGAGACAGAAATTGATTGACAACAGAGAGAGAGAGAGAGAGAGAGAGAGAGAGAGAGAGAGAGAGAGAGAAATTACATAGCTTACAAGAAATCGGGAGAGACTTTTTTGGTGTATAATAGAGAAGGAATGCCTTTGGGAGACAATGCGAGAGAAAGAGAGAGAGAAACTGACACACACACACACACACACACACATATATATATATATATATATATATATATATATATATATAAAGAGAAAGAGAGACAGAAAGCGAGAGTGAGCAAATGCTTGAGAAATGGGTTAGAGAAAGATACGAAGAGAATAAGACAGCATGAAGAGGAATAGAGAGGAGGGGTAGGGAAAGAGAGACAAAGACTGATTGAGAAAGTGACTACGAAGGTGAGAGAGACAGAAATTGATAGAAAAGAGAGAGAGAGAGAGTGAGAGAGAGAGAGAGTGCTAGAAAGGGAGAAAGAAAGAAAATAGTGAGTAAACAAGAAAGCTAGCAAGGAGAGAGAAAGACAGAGGAATTTTGTGATGTGTAATTGAGAAGGAATGTCTACGGAATGCAATGATATATATATATATATATATATATATATATAGTGAGAGAGAGAGAGAGAGAGCAGACAGACAGGCATATATATATATATATATATATATATATATATATATATATATATATATATAGAGAGAGAGAGAGAGAGAGAGAGAGAGAGAGCAAATGAGAGTCGTTGAGAATGAGTGAGAGGAAGACCGAAGCAGTGAGGAAGGGTACAGAGAGGGGATAGTGAAAGAGAGACAAAGAGAAAGTAACTGCGAATGTGACAAGGAAGGACAAAAATTTACAGACAGGAGCGAGTGAGGGGGAAACAGAAAGAAAGAGACCAAGAAAGCGACAGAGATGGAGAAAGAGGGGGAATTAGATAAAGAAAGGGAGAAAGAAATGAAGCGACAGGAAGAGGGAAAGAGAGAAAGTGTGTTAGAAAGTGAGAGAGTGGGCTCTAGACAGAAAGAACGAGGGCGGAAAATCAGGAAAATAGAGAGAGATAATTAGTGAGAAAGTGAGAATGACATAGCAGTCTAGAAAAGGAGAGAGAAATAGTGGGAGACACAAAGGGAATAAGCGAAGTGTGTGTGTGTGTGTGTGTGTGTGTGTGAGAGAGAGAGAGAGAGAGAGAGAGAAAGAGAAAGTATGAAATAGAAAGTATGTACGCGGGAGAGACAGCGAGAATTGGGTGTATAAAAACTGTAGTTGCAATTGTTTAATACAACACACCGGTTTTAGAATGTAACGTTTTCACATCGTTCCAGAGGTGGGTGTTCGAATAAAGGCAAACTCTTTGTTCTCGAATACTTATTTTCTCTCTAAGCAGGTTGTACCCCCACCATTTTGAAAAATGTTGTAAAACAATTTGATTCCTATTACATATCCCCATTACAGTTTTAAATGTAAGGCGTTAGATATTACGTGAGATATTCAACAATCTGGTAGGTCGAGTGTTATGCAGCAAATATTTTAACTTGAAGTAATTGTATCTGGACTATCTCAACAATACTGTAATATTAAATAAAAATAGTGACTTTTCAAAATAAGACTTGTAACTCACTTAACACATGTTTTTTTTAGAGGCGGAATATCCTGCTTTGATCAATCTAGGACGGACTTTGTTTCAGCAAGACAATGCAAGGCCAGACACTGCCAAGTTGACTAAGAAGATTCTTCCACATCCACCATTAAGTTCCGATAATGCTCCGAGTGACAATGGCCTATTCCAGCATAGCATCCTTCTATAGAACCATGTTTCTGTTGCTTCAGGTCTACTCTTCATCTTTGAGGAGATCGTCCAGCACTCACTGCCATACGGGAGGACAGATATCATATAGAAGTTTAGTACTCTTTTCTTTCTTTCTATCGAAATTTCCCTGTTTCTTAATAATCTGCTTAGATTCTGGAAGACTTCTTTCGCTATCCCAAATGCGCCTTCGGATTTCGATGTCACACATTCTGTCCTCTGTTACAACAATGCCACGATATTTAAATTTCTGCACTTGTTTGATTCTGACCTCCATTTTGCAATTCACATTTTGGGACCGAAGAGTCACAGAATCTAAGATCTATTCAAAATAGTCTTTTTCTTTCTTAGTAAAGTTACGAAGGTCTAACATAATATTCTTGCATTATTTCGAGCTTTTTACATTATTCGGACTATTGTCCTCATCTTTGTCGCCATATTTATTACAACGTTTCAACCGTTGTACGCTCCGACCCTCTTCAGGTGGTTGGAATGTCGAACTGAACTCTTTATTTCGCCCACTAGGGTAGACTGTTCTAGTTCCACGTGCCATTAAACATGGTAATAATGTAAATAGCGTACCTAATACCTCATCTCAGAAATATAGACAGATACTATTTCGAGCTTAGTATTTTAGTTCTTATATATGTTATATATATAACACACACACATACACACTCACACACAGATATAAATATATATATATATATATATATATATATATATATATATATATATGTGTGTGTGTGTGTGTGTGTGTGTGTGTGTGTGTGTGTGTGTGTATAAATAAAAGAAAAACAGTAAGATATATAATCCGGTGTTCTTATAGATATTTTTATTTTTACAAAATAGTGCTCAATGTAAATTTACAGAACATTAATAATATAAATTAATTGTTTCAAAATATGGATTTCCAAAATTCGCTTGAGGATGAAATGGAACTAATGTCTAGTGAAGAAGCTGTTAACATAGAACTTACGGCTACATGTAGCCAGCCCAACTGTAAATTGATGAGATCTCGACGCCAGTCTAGCACTGTATTTATAAATAGCAAAGAGCTCATCCGAACAATTACCATGAAAAAAATTTGTAGAAAAGACTCAGGGAGGCAACGTAACAGCGATGAGAATGTGACTGAAGTCGAGCCGCCAGATCAGGGCCAATAATATTGCTGATTCTTCTTTGAATTTAATCAAGGAACTCAAAGTAAACACCAGGGGCACCGGACCATATGTGGCAGCAATATTCTAAGCACAGACGAATGGTAGGCTTATAGATATGTTAAGTAAAAGAAAACTACTTCGTGTTCGCAAAATATATCCACAAATCTTACCTGTATACGATTGAGGGCCTTCCCGATCAAAGCCAATGAAAAGGTGACAGATACGAGAACACAACTTACCTGAAAAAAGAAAGAACAATGTTAGATGTAAAACACAGTTTAATTCACAAATAATGAGAAAATAATAATAACAATGATATGTTAAGTATTTGCGCATAAGGACATACTTGAACTGCTAGGAAAAGTCGATCTATTTGAAAAAGATATTAAAATAATCCAGTACTTATAATGGGAGCAAACCTCTTGCGTATTGAAAGGAAGTGAATCGAGTAACTGCATGAAAATAGAAAGGGGCGTGAGACAAGGTTACATCCTCTGATTTATTCAACCCCTGCATCGACGCTGTCCTAATGAAATTGTAGATCCTACCAATATTTATTAGTGGTCGGCGTAATCTTAACACTATAAGATACGCAGATGACACTGTGTTGATGGCCGGCTCGGAAAGAATACTACAGGACCTCTTCTAGGTAAGGTTTGGAAGGAAAGCGAGAACAAAGGACTAACCATCAACTGCAAGAAGGAGCAAGAGACAAGGCCCAAGATGCGGGTTACGAATTGGATTCAAAATCAAGAAGGTGCAGAAGTTCAAATATCTGGGAACTGTTTTAAGAGAGGATGGATAATGAGACGTCCCAGCACCTATTAGTCTAAGAAAACAAGCATTCTAAAAGCTAAGCTAGAGGCTGAGAAACGGAAACTATATTGTCGGAAAGGAAAAAAAGATAGCTCGATTGCTATGTGAAATCCATCCTCTTATATGAATGCTGGATAATCTCTCGAGAATTCCATAGATGGAGCAAGTAAGCAAAATGGCAATAGAATCAAGAAAGGGCAGCTGAAATTCCTTGAAGAATTAATGATGAAGGAACACTTGAAAAACTTCGCCTTCATAGTACATATTTCAGGAGAGTGAAATAAAGGAGCTATGAGCTATTTCTCCATGGCGTAACGGGGAGCGGGTGTCTCAGCAAAGGGAGAAAGACTGCTAATGGCTAGAATTGATAGAAAGTTGTGGAAAGCCATGATCAGCTATTTCCTGAAGGGACGTGGCACAAAGAAGGAGAAGAAGAATTTAAATATTTTTTTAATAAAAGCTTGTGCAAATTAATTGAAACAACCACTTTATATTCCTTTCTTTCACTATACGGTCAATAATAGAGTGTAATCGATTTCTATTTTTTTCCCCATATTAGGTTATTTGCAGTGATGTGCAGTAACATGAATTGTGAATAATATGCATTTTCGGGGTGTATGATGAAATTTGTTTGGCCTTGAAAAATAATGCGTCATCCCTGATAGTATCAGATTTTTATGACGCCTAGATACTATTGTCTCGACTGTCGATTAGTTGTCCTACGACCATTGTCTGCGACGGACGTTACTCCAAGTGGTGTATGAAATTTGTAATGCTGCACGAACACACTGTCAAGCCTTACCAGTGAGCAAATCAAAGTACTATAAACTGGCTCGGAAACTCTCCTAATTTAAATCGAGAATCTGTGGTCAATCTGCTAGGAACGACTCCGTGGAATGGACATAGGAAGTACTAACATAAGCACTGGGTTGTGTTTTATTTGAGAAATACGACAAAAAGTAAATAATAACCGAGTTATTCGTTTTGTTTTAATTAATTTGCACAAGGATGTAAGTAAAATGCTATATAAATTCATTGTATGTGCTTGTGCATAAATTGACACTAATTGTAGAATTTGTGGGTAATTAAGTTTCCGACCAAAGCCTTTGATCATCAAGGTTCGAGTTCATTTAAAGGCCTCATATTCTGAATATTCTTTTTCAAAGCAGACAGTATAGAATTTCAAAGATTAGCTCAAGCCAATTTTCAAACAAGATTCATACATTTTTTCGCTAGTTTAAAGCAAGTTTATCGCATCAAACACATAGAAGCGGCCCTCTAAGGATTCGAATGCTGATTTTCCAGGAAGGCACTCTGTTCTTTTAATGAACATCTCCCTATGTTTCGAATAAACCTCATTGAATTACATTTTCGCTGATAAAACAACCTTATGAAGAAATTATTCAAAATCTAAAGAGTCAGTTATAGTTTATACACATCTAACACTCAGTGAGAAAAGAGTAATTAGAGAATTCAACACGCACAGGTTAGAAATCCTTAGATATGAAGAAAAATATTTGTAGTAACAGAAATTTGGTTCTACAGAAGGATGATGAGGATACCATGGACTAGTGAGCAACAAGTTAGTTTTAAGGAAGATAGAAACAAAAAGGACGCTTTTCCTTAGACAAATGAAATTTCTTGATGAGGAAAGAGGTTTTGGAAAATTGGCTACTCAGGACATATTGAAGGCAAGAGGAAGAGAGTATATTTTCTAACGAGTTTGTGTAAAGGATGACAGTACAAAGATTAAGAATGATAATGAAAAGATAAAACTTACTAAGAGCATAGGAAGTTGTGGAGAGCCATGATCCACTTAAAGGATCACATATCGAAGAAGAACTTCTTTAAATAATATTCTCACATTCTAGCATATACCGGGTGTAACAGAAAATTGTCTAAATCGTGTTATAGCAAAATTGTCCAATTGTTAGATTAAGATTTGAAACGTTGTATCCTAGAAATGATTAAAGATATTTTACTGGAATTCTCCAAAGTTTTTATAACACTATTGGACTCTACATTGAATAATAAGAATGTATTTATCTTGAAATGATGATCCCTCTTCTTGTTCTGCCTTCCTGATCCAGTTTTCATCTCTACTGTTCCCTCTTTTTTTAAAAATTATTCACCGATCTCTTGATGGTTCTTGAATGGACTTTGAAGATGGAAGCCAGATTATGAATGTTGGTACCATTACTGAAGGTCTGAATGATCTTTTTCCTCTCACCATTGCTCAGTTGGGAATACATAGTGGGGCTGACACAAAACGATTTTAATCTGTTCTCTTTCTAGCTGAATAGATTAAAGGGTTTTTCAGTGATTCTTACGATAAGTGTTATTAAGATGGCTAAACGTCATGTTTGAAAACATGGAAAAAAAGAACTCAATTAGTTTAGTGTTTTTTTTAGATAAACATTTTGTGGGATGGATAGTTTTCCAATACTGTTACACGACTTTCACGTTATACCTGGTATATTACTATTAAAAATAAACAAATTTAATTTCAGTTGCAACGGATACGCCTGCAGCGATTGAACCTAAACATCCAGATGAAGGATCCACGGTTTATACGAAAATAAATTTCATTGGTTGTTTTCTGTTTGGAAATGTATTCTTTTTGTCACTTCCCATTCATTGCGTGCAATTTCATGGCTGCTTTCCCCTTGCACTCTTACCGTCGATGGAGCCAGCCAAGATGCCTTAAGGGTCACAGAATCATACATACACATAAGACAATAGAAACCGGTCAGTTAGTATGTCGATCAATGCCAACCTTATGTTCCCAATCGAATATCGAGCCAAGGCAGACCTGCTAGTTTTATTTAGATTCAAACTAGAACGGCATTCCGATGTGGGAGTTGGTTTCTTGTTGAAGGGGAAGTGAGGCTCTACAAACTGCACAAGCTCACTTACTTTCCTACCCATCTTTTCTCTCTCTCACATTCCCTCTCTTTCACTATATATATATATATATATATATATATATATATATATATATATATATATATATATAATTTCTATATATATTTCCTATGCGCAGTACTTATTGGAAAGTGGTCAATATGAGTGATTACATCCGAATATATATATATATATATATATATATATATATATATATATATATATATATATATATATATATATAAAAAACCAGGATGTCACTTTAATTCGCTACCTTTGTTTCAACCTTACGCTATCCTCAGGCGATTTTTATTAAATGACCTCTTAATATATTTGTTTTTAAAATAATGAACGGTATTTAATTCTTTTCAAAAATAATTAAGCAAAGCGCACGAATTTAAGTATAATAGAAAGGGGAGGAGGAGGATATAGAAGAAGAAGAAGAAGAAGAAGAAGAAGAAGAAGGTGGAGGAGGGGAAGAAGAAGAGGACAGAGAAGAAAAGCACGGTTATTTTAAATGTATCGGTGGAGATGAATTTACAATTTACTTGCTTTTCTTCTCTTTCCCCATCTTCTTCTTCTTCTTCTTCTTCTTCTTCCCCTCCTCCTCTTTCTTCTTCTTCTTCTTCTTCCCCTCCTCCTCTTTCTTCTTCTTCTTCCTTCCTCCTCCTCTTCTTCTTCTTCTTCTTCTTCTTCTTCTTCTTCTTCTTCTTCTTATTCTCATCCTCCTCCCCCGTTTCTGTTACACCCAACGTCGTTCGTTTTTTTATTTTATTTTTGAAAATAACAATGTAGCGTACATTAGTTTTTAAAAATAAAATAAACCGTTGGTAAAACTCACCTGATGGTACCATGAAGTTGAAAGCAACACAGCGGATTCAACTGACCTCCTGATTTTTAAATTAGTCTTAGTGGAATTATCACCTTGTTTGGGGTGAATTGATAAAAAATGTGCAGATTCAACTGACCTCCTGATTTTTAAAGTTAAAAGTTCTACATGTTATTTTTACTTTTAATTTATTTTTTCACGCGTGTATTGAGCACTTTTTTTTATACTACTCTTTCCTGGTCTGGTTCATCTGACCATTAACCTTATATATATATATATATATATATATATATATATATATATATATATATATATATACTGAAGGTTATTCGTTATGAACGGAATTTGTTAAAATTAACAGATATAATGTCTGCAATTTATTCAATCAAACATGCCTAAAAGAGAATATGCACACACACACAGACGCACATCCACACACACACACACACACACACACACACACACATATATATATATATATATATAAAATTCTAAGGCATGCTATATTTATGGGTAAATATCAGGGAAAGAGCATATGCAAATGCAAATATAAATATAACACATGGACTGAAGAATGCGCCCAAGCATAAAAACAGACTGTCCCCGTTTTATGTTGACCTCAGTTTCCATATATATATATATATATATATATATATATATGTGTGTGTGTGTGTGTGTGTAAAACGTATACTTATATGATAAATATATATATATATATATATATATATATATATATATATATATATATATACTTTTTTATTCTAGGATATTACACCAAAAACATGTCAAAACCGCAATTTCAGACGGCTTTCGATGAAATTAACGTATCTCATTTTATATATATATATATATATATATATATATATATATATATATATATATGGAGATGTGAATGGACCCAAATACTTATAGCTTTATTACAGAAATAAGGTATATGCAATAAATATTTTTCATATGTGTGTCCGCGAACGCAGACGAAAATATTCACACTTAAAAATAGAAATCAGATCGACGTACAAACTCAAGCAGAAACACACACGTAACCACACAAATACACACACATACAGGCACAGTCAGAAACATACATATAATCAATTAATCCCACACACACACTAATATAAAATCATTCAAACGTGCACATACACACGAACACAAACTAAACCTCAAATGCAACAATCACACAGACATATGTACAAACACAGACAGAAACACACGCATAAATGCAACCTCTCAACACCCATACACACTAATAGAATCGAAAACAAAATCACGCACACGAACAGAAACGCACACACACACACACACACAACTGATCTAGTTCCACGTGCCATGTCTAATGGATGTCAATTATCAGTTATCTCCTATTAATTCCCTTCTCCAAGATTTCCACCGCCTTAAACAGGTATTGAAATCACGCTCTTTGGGTCCTGTCACTGGATCTAACCGACGCCTTTATCCACTGTGCCATGTGTCCTTGATAACTGACATCCATTAGACATGGCATGTGGAACTAGAACAGTCTACCCCAGCGAGCGAAATAAAGGGTTCAGTTCGACATTCCATCCACGTGAAGAAGGCCGGAGCGTACAACGGCCGAAACGGTGTGATAAATATGGCAACAAAGATGAGGACACTTATCCGATTAATGTAAATAGTGTATATAATACCTCACTTCAGAAATATATACTGATACTGAAATTAAAACATTTCGAATAATTTAATTTTTTTAAGCGAATTCACACCATACAAGGCACTAAAGCAACTAAGACGCAATATGTTACTGACCGTGAAAGGATTAGAAAACAGAAACATTAGTAAGAAGCGAAAACAATAGGAGGTTGGCGAAAACGACAGCAGATAACGATTGACATTGCATTAAAATTTTTGAAGATCAAAGATGGCTGGAAAACCTAGAATGAAGCGGTTTCCACAAGCGAGAAGTGCGAGAAAAGAAACTGTTAGCGTAGATATATCTAGCCAATTCAACTGCTAATTGATGAGATGGTATTACCAATTAAGTACTGCGCTTAAATTCATAAAGTCCAGGTACCATAGCGAAGAGCGATATTTATTCTGTTTTATACAGAAGTGTGGCACAAGGTCGAAAGGGGGGATTGGGGAAAGGACGGTCTTGTTCTGTCTTAACTATAACTTAGCTAGCCGCAAACACTGACCCAATCGTACGAACAGTAGCGAAGAGCTCACCCAAACAGTTATCATGAATGTATTTATTTTAAAAAAAAAAAAGGTACAGGGGAACATCTTTACAGCGGTAAGAAAGTGACTGAAGATGAGATTCCAAGTCAGGACGAATAATATTGCTGATTCTTCTTTAGATCTTGTCAAAAATCTCTAAATATATGGCAGTAGCATCGGACCACATATGGCGACAATATTCAAAGTATGGGAGATTCCGGAGAGATCAAGCACGATTATTTAGCACGACACAGTGAAGCAAGTTTCTTAGCAGCAGACCTATAATTTCAAATGAGATTGTTAGCCAGAGAAGACGCAACGAATCACTTTCTTGGGGGTTAGCATCAGTCATAGAGATGGAAATGCAGAGAAGGGTTTAATAGAGAGAAGATTAATTTTAGAGGCGTTGAAATTAACAAGAGATCTTTTGCCCAAGTTAATGGAGGATTTGAGGTCGTTTTGGAGACCGGTTGCCATTTTGAATTTGTCATCCTTACTATATAATTTTTTATTCATTTCCCTCAATCGAACCCTAATGCTAACCCTAAGCCTAAACCCTAACCCTCGCCCTAACACTAAACCTTAACCTTAACCCTTAGTTAGAGAAGGCACAACGAGGTACTCGCCTGGAGGTTAGCATCAGCCATGCAGATAACATACAGAGAGGGATAGAGGTAGATAATTAATTGAGATCAGATTTTAAATATTGTTTTTATTTTTTAAATTAATTATTTTTTTTTGAGAGATGGACTTAAATTACTTTTCAAGAGGAAAATAGTTATCGATCAAGATTGTTATGATTGATTGTCATTGAGTCATAAATGATGATTCAAACATTTCTCTAGAAAAGTGATTTGCAAACATTTTTTCTCTGGGCCGCATTTTCGGAATTAATATTTGCCCACGCCTCACCAAATCCTATTTTATAAAAATACATTTAAATGAAAAAAAAAAAAAAAACAAAAAAAAAAAAAAAAAAAAGGATTAAAGGGAGATAACCGCGGATTCAAAGTCAGAACATTATCATTGATAACTCTCTTCTCCAATTTGCGGGGCCTAATTACTATATTCTTAATACTTTATATAATGCAAAAATATCACAAAGATAAAATTGGTCAATAATTATTTATAACTATTTATATTGGGACTCATGCATGAAATTACAAATAATCCATAATAATATTTAAAATTTTGAATTCATAATTATTTATACCTATGCGACTAATGCATGTACTTTTTGAAACTGTTTCTAAATATTTGATTGTCTTTCAGTCTTTCCGCCTCACCTGCTACCCTCTTCCACCTCATCTGCTACCCTCTTCTGCTGCACCTATGAGGCGCACCGTTTGGAAACCACAACTCTAGGATGTTAATTTCGATAATTTTCGCTGCAAGGAACTTAATTAAAAGAATTTAGATGTCAGTTTGTTTTTATCTTGGTAAGCTGACAGCATAAAACATCCGCATTCTCGATTGATGGCAATTTGGAATGAAAATTTGTTCGCGCCTCACCAAATGTTAGATGAAAAAAAATACATTTAAAAATCAAAAAAAAATCAGAGAAGGTTAAAGGGAAATTGCAGCGGATTTGGAATCAGATCCTTATCATGGATAACTCTCTCCTCCAATTTACGGACTCTGGTCAAATCATATTTTTAGCATATGAATTGTTTGAAACTGTTTCTAAATCTTTGATTGTCTTTCAATCATTCCGCCTCCCCTGCTATCCTCTTCCACCGCATCGAATAGGTGCGGCAAAAGAGGATAGCATTTGCAACGTTTGGGATGTTAATTTCGATAACTCTCGCTGCAAGGAAACAGTTTAGATGTCAGTTTTTATTTTGGTAAATTTAAATAATAAAACTTCCTCACTCTCGTCTGATTGCAAATCGAGAAATTATATCTGTATATATGTGGCAGTTAGAATTCCTTGGTCGTCATCCTGGTATTCTTTGGGAAGTTTGAATTTTAAAATAGTCTGACGAGACGTCATGTGTTA